GGTCTGGTTTCCGCCATTGCGTTGCCGGGTTTCCCGCCGACCGCTGCAACGGAGCAGCGGTCTGCGCCTGCATTTTCCCGGCGTCTAAGCAGCCGGATACCGTACCCTAACTAACCTTAGCTTTATCCAAGCCCTATGAAACTAAAATAGGATCTTAAAACACACCACAGGCAAAGTATAAGCTTTCCGTAAACAAGCGGGTTACATGGCCTCCTTCGGCAACGAAACGTTTTGTTTCCTAGTTAGTATCAAAGTAGTAGTTTTATGCAGTCTGAAACGGCCTAAAATTAACGATCCTAAGGCCAGGAGCCTTCAATATTGCTTTCCATTTTCCCATTTTTCACGGCAGAGCAGCCATGGCTGCTGATAGCTTGAAGCAAGCAACAAGGTGTTTCAGGCATCAGTAGGCGAAGTGAGCTGCTCTGCAGAACGCTGGGGTGGGGAGCGGTGAGAGGCGTGGAGCAGAAGGTACTCACGAGAAAACAGATCCACCGAACCGGTTGTCGCCGTTCTACGAAGTGGTTACAGCGGCTAACGATACGTCGGTCACGAACACCCTTGTGCTGGTTTGTCGAATGTTACCAGTACTTTTGCTGTTCCAAAAAGCTAACAGATCATATAGTCTCAGGTCTATATGAAATATGGGAGGAGTTGTGTAGCTACAATTTCAAAATTGTTTGACTCATGGTTGTGTGTCTACCCAGCTGAAAAATAAAAGAAAACATCACTGTTATTTGTAGTACATGCACAACTTTGTATGAGATTATTTGCTTTGAAACATCACAATTATTTTTTATTCATGCATGTAAATATAAATAACTGGATGAACGCTAAGAATTTTCACATACATCGCAGTTGAATTATTCTCTCAAGTTTGTTTGCTGATTGTAATCATCTTGTTATAAGCGTTCATATTTTCTTAAATTCTCCCTTATAAGAAATCTAGTTCCAGGGCTTCGCGCCTCGATGTCGCCGCCAATTCTCGCCGGGGTTGTCAGAGGTGCCGTCCAGGGCTGTCGATTGGTTTGGACCCAGAACTTGAGAGGCTGAGGTGCCCCAAAAGTTGCCCTGAAATTTACGGGCTGAGAGCCAACCTGGCACTTGAAATCAGGGCTACCAACTTTTCTGCACTTTTGCTAAGGAAAACCTACATCGCTTCGGGTCCGTATCCTAGGCAACTACTAAGATCCAGCTAGGCAATTGTCTGAGGTACGAAACATGTCGATGGATTTGATGGGGATGGGAAAAGGAGAAAGGGGAGTGGCTGGGAGGAGGTGGGGGGACTGGTGAGCGAATGGGAGGGAGGGAGGTATTAGTAAGGGAAGATAAGGGCTAGCCGCGGATCTGCACTTGAAATCCGGGTTAGGCCCACAACCAGCACTTGCGGGAAAGGGCTGCCCTCAAAGCCACCCCTGAAAATTCGGAATCTGGGCTGAACCCACCCCTTAATGTTCAGGGCATTAAGGGCATTTGCCCTTGAATCGTCAGCCCTGGTGCCGTCACTGACAACAGCCTTCCCTCCCTCAGCCGACAATCCCTTCGCATTTCAAGCACAACTTGATCCTTCCCGGCCATCACCTTCTTTCAGTCACGGCTCGGTTTCTTCCTCTTACCAGACTCTCTCGGCTGAGTCCCATTGTCGGCATAACTTTCAATAGTCCGCTTGTAGCTGGTAGAGATTAATCCGCCTGGAGCGACGCCAGAACGCAGATTTCCTGTAGAAAATACCCTATCCGCTCTTTTTTCTTAGATATGAAGAGCTTGAAGTCGCGACTCGTCTATGACTCATCCATATTTCAGATACAGATTGCGGTTCTAACGCATGTGGGCTGTGTTAATGAGCATTCCGCTGCGCCAAATAACACCCTCGTTTTGACCCAGCGGGTAGCGAGGTGTTATAGCGGTCCAACGACGGAGAATATATAGCAATTGTATTACGTGGCCCTGAGACGGAGGATGGATTAACAACCTAAGGTCGCACAACCGATCAATGACCTTGGTACACGGTTCTAAGTTGCAGAAACGAATAGCTGTCTCCAGCATCCGTTTCAGGACGTACGATAAAGTCGGAACCTTCAGAGTACGGTCCTAAACCACCTTAGCGATCTTAACTGGGGATTCAGCTGGTCACTTCTAGGACCTTCTCTTGCCGGTCGTCGGCTTTCGCTGCCGTTTCCCGAGTTTGTCTGCCCTTCGCCGAGTGTCGCTGCAGTTAGCCGAGTTCGCCGCCGCCGATTTTCGTTGCCGTTCGCCAAGTTCGTTCCTGACGTTCGCCATGTTTCGCTGCCATTCGCCATGTTCCGCTACCGTTTGCCGACTATCGGTGCCGTACGCCGAGTGTCGCTGCCTTTCGCAGAGCTGCTGCCGTTCGCCCAGTATCGCTGCCTTTCGCAGCGCTGCTACCGTTCACCGAGTCTTCGCGGATTTCCTCCCGTTCGCCGACTTTCGCTGATGCGCGCGGCGTTTCTCTACCTATCTCTACGTTGCGCTGGGATCCCCGAGTTTCTCTGCCGTTCGCGAGCTTTGCGTCGAGGAAACACGCCAAGGATATAGGCGCACGGCGGAACGCAGAGCATTGCAACAGAGGGATCGGCCTGAGAGCAGCTATGTGTGAAAGAGCAGTGACCCAGTGACGCAGATCTACCGCAGCAGCAACGGGTAAACGCAGATTGCGAGGGAAAACGGGTAATATCGGCAGCAGTAACGCGGATTCGGAGCTCACTGACGGCAGCAGCGCGGATTCGGAGCAACGCGGATTCGAAACTCACTGACGGCAGCAACGCGGATTCGGAGCAGCGCGGATTCGAAACTCACTGACGGCAGCAGAGCGTCTTTGAAAGGGTGCGTGTGCGTGGAAAGCAATTGGGGGGCCGACCAGTTAGGTCGCCGCGCGGCAAGTCTTAGAATCATTTCTTGTTTCTTTCGAGTCCGTTTCCGCTGCTGCTACTGACGCTCTCTCCTCTGTGCTTGTTCCTGTGCTGTTGCGAGGAGAAACGCGGATTGCGAGGAGAAATGCGGATTGCACGGAGAAGTGCGGAATGCACGGAGAAATGCGGAATGCGCGGAGAAACATGGATTGCGCGGAGAAACGCGCATTGAGCGCATTTGACAAGGTGCGTGTGCGTGCCATTTTATGTGGGGGGACGAGTAGGACGTAGGAGTCCGCCGCGTAGGTGTCTTGAGTCCGCTGTTCCTGCTATCCAGCGTCGTTTCTCGCTAAGAGCTCGGCCTAACGCACGTGCGTGTTCTCTCCCTGCTGTTGCGTGTGTGGGGTGGGGAGGAGGAGGAGCACAGGAGCGGACCAAGGAGGGTCAGGCGAACGACCTCCAAGGAGCAGCAGCGGCAGCAGCAACAACAAGGAGAGAGGGCGGAGAAAAGGGGGTGTGGGGAGGCACTGTGTCACTGTGCAGTATGGTAAGCTCTCAATCGATTCGATTGGGGGGTTCCGACAGTCTAGGTCGCCGTGCGGCAAGTCTTAGAATCAAATTCTGTTCCTTCCAAATTTGTTTCCTCTGCTGCTTCTGACGCTCTCTCCTCTGTGCTTGTTCCTGTGCTGTGTGCGCTGCTGTGGTTCGGGTGCCTCCTTGACTGAGGCCCATGGACGTCCCAACAGCCCTGCCTGCCAAGACGTGGTGGTGCGTCGCGTCCCAAGGAGGTGCTCTGCCAGTGACGACCTGACTGCTGAGGCGTCTCAGAATCTGCCGCAGGGACGCCCCAACACTCCTGGCTCATCATAGCAACATGGTAAGTCATTGGGCGGGTCTATCGGGGGGGCAGAGCAGTCTAGGTCGCCGCGCGGCAAGTCTTAGAATCAATTCTTGTTTCTTCCGAGTCCGTTTCTTCTGCTGCTTCTGACGCTCTCTCCTCTGTGCTCGTTCCTGTGCTGTGTTTGCTGCTGTGGTTGGGGTGCCTCATTGACTGAGGCCCATGTACGCCGCAACAGTCCTGCCTGCCAAGGCGTGGCCGTGCGTCGCAGCAACCATCCACCTACTGAGGCGTCGCAGAATCTGCCCCAAGGGCGAGACAACAGTCCTGCCTGCCAAGGGGTGGTTCGTCCCAGGGAGGGGCACTGCGGGTGAGGATCCGCCTTCTGAGCCGTCTCAGAAACTGGCTCACGATAGCAGTATGGTAAGTCGCTGGGTGGATCTAAGGGGGGTGCAGAGCAGTCTAGGTCGCCGCGCGGCAAGTCTTAGAATCCGGTTTTGCCTATCCCGAGTCCACTTTCTATTCTGCTTCTGACGCTCGTGCCTCTGTGCTTTTTCCTGTGTTGTGTGTGTTCTGGTTCCGGTACCTGCTTTTCCGAGGCCCATCCATACTGTGTGTCATCAGACCTGTCTGATAAGGGGTGGTTCGTCACAGGGAGGGGCTCTGCAAGGGAGGATCTGCCTTTTGAGGCGCCGCAGAATCGGCCTCACTGCCGCAGTATGGTAAGTTGCGGTGAGTGGCTGGGCAGGTCTATTTGCGGGGTAAGGCAGTCTAGGTCGCCTTGCGGCCGGTGTTGCAATCCGTTTCTGTTGCTGCTGCTGACGAGCTCTCCCCTGTGGTTGTTGTTGCTGTGTTGCATTGGCTGCTCTGGTTCGGTGGTCTCCCTGACTGAGACCCAGGGAGGTGCTGGCAGTGCGTGTGCGTCCCAGGAAGGTGCTACGTGAGTGGGGGTCCGCCTTCAGAGCCGTCTCAGGCACCACGGCAGTATGGCAAGTGATTCGGGCTGATTAATTGGGGGGGCAGAGCAGTCTAGGTCGCCGTGCGGCAAGTCATAGAACCGAGTTTGTTTTCTTTCGAGTCTGTTTCCGTTCCTGCTTCTGACTCACTCTCCTCCTGTCGTGTGTGTTCCTGTCGTGTGTGTTCCTGTCGTGTGTGTTCCTGTCGTGTGTGTTCCTGTCGTGTGTGTTCCTGTCGTGTGTGTTCCTGTCGTGTGTGTTCCTGTCGTGTGTGTTCCTGTCGTGTGTGTTCCTGTCGTGTGTGTTCCTGTCGTGTGTGTTCCTGTCGTGTGTGTTCCTGTCGTGTGTGTTCCTGTCGTGTGTGTTCCTGTCGTGTGTGTTCCTGTCGTGTGTGTTCCTGTCGTGTGTGTTCCTGTCGTGTGTGTTCCTGTCGTGTGTGTTCCTGTCGTGTGTGTTCCTGTCGTGTGTGTTCCTGTCGTGTGTGTTCCTGTCGTGTGTGTTCCTGTCGTGTGTGTTCCTGTCGTGTGTGTTCCTGTCGTGTGTGTTCCTGTCGTGTGTGTTCCTGTCGTGTGTGTTCCTGTCGTGTGTGTTCCTGTCGTGTGTGTTCCTGTCGTGTGTGTTCCTGTCGTGTGTGTTCCTGTCGTGTGTGTTCCTGTCGTGTGTGTTCCTGTCGTGTGTGTTCCTGTCGTGTGTGTTCCTGTCGTGTGTGTTCCTGTCGTGTGTGTTCCTGTCGTGTGTGTTCCTGTCGTGTGTGTTCCTGTCGTGTGTGTTCCTGTCGTGTGTGTTCCTGTCGTGTGTGTTCCTGTCGTGTGTGTTCCTGTCGTGTGTGTTCCTGTCGTGTGTGTTCCTGTCGTGTGTGTTCCTGTCGTGTGTGTTCCTGTCGTGTGTGTTCCTGTCGTGTGTGTTCCTGTCGTGTGTGTTCCTGTCGTGTGTGTTCCTGTCGTGTGTGTTCCTGTCGTGTGTGTTCCTGTCGTGTGTGTTCCTGTCGTGCGGTGTGCTCCTGTGTGTGTTCCTGTCGTGTGTGTTTCTGTTGTGCGGTGTGCTCCTGTGTGTGTTCCTGTCGTGTGTGTTTCTGTTGTGCGGTGTGCTCCTGTGTGTGTTCCTGTCGTGTGTGTTTCTGTTGTGCGGTGTGCTCCTGTGTGTGTTCCTGTCGTGTGTGTTTCTGTTGTGCGGTGTGCTCCTGTGTGTGTTCCTGTCGTGTGTTTTCTGTTGTGCGGTGTGCTCCTGTGTGTGTTCTGTTCCTGTCGTGTGTGTTTCTGTTGTGCGGTGTGCTCCTGTGTGTGTTCCTGTCGTGTGTGTTTCTGTTGTGCGGTGTGCTCCTGTGTGTGTTCCTGTCGTGCGGTGCGCGTGCCTGGTAGACTAAGAGGTGTGGAATGGGCGTCCCATGGACAGGAAGACGCAGGGACGCAGTGGCGTGGCTTGGGTAAACACTGACATTCAGAGGGCGAAGGGCAGTACAGGCAGACTCTCGCATGGGTGAGTGTCTCCTATCCTCGTCCTTGCATGCATGCTCTCGAGCACGTGTGTTCACCCTGCGCTTCACCCTCCCTTCACTTCCCCCCTCTCTTCCCTCCTTCGCCACCTTCTTCCCTCGCCCCTGTTTGTGCAGGTGCGTGCAATGGGGTGGGAGGAGAATCAAGGCAGCACAGCAACCGACTGAGTTCTCAGCACGGCACCAAGCGTGTTCTGCACTGCATTGGAAGAGTGTCTCTCTTAGAGGTCCGTGCCACAGAGGTACCCGCCATTCTCTTGGATCGCTTCTCTAGTGTTCTTCTGGCTTGTACTTCTCTGTGTATTTCTTCTGCTGCATCTCTGCTTGCTATGGTGACTTGCAGTTTCCTCCTCTCCCTCCTCCCCAGTTCCGTTGTTTGCCTTTCCCTCCTATGCACCCTGCTACCCTGCAGTCTCTGCAGCCGGGCTGAAGCAACGATGGCAGCAGAGAAACAACGGGCAGTGCAAGGGAGAGCATGGGGGGTGTGAGCTGCAGCAGGTGAGTTCCATCCCTTCCCCATCGCTACCCCTTGACACTCCCACCTCTTGCGCCTTCCATTTCTATCCTCCGAGTTTGCACGGGAGAGCATGTGGGGTTTCAGCTGCATTGCCACTAACGTTCATCCATGAAAGTGTTGCTTCTGCTATTGCTCTTTGCTTTCTCGAGATCTGAGAACGTGCCCCTCCCAACACACTCCCCTTCGCTCCCTTTTGCCCCCCTCCCCCCCATCAAGCGACAGGCGTGGTTGTAGCAACACTTGAGGACGGGAGGGGACGGGGGGAGAACGGAAAGGAGGGAAAGATGGGAAGGGGGTAAGGCAGAAGGGAGGATGAAAGGAATGCTCGGATAGAAACAGGTGAGTACTATTCCCCATGCTGTGTTGTCCACTGACTCCTTATGCTTTTCAACTCACAATCCACACACCGAATCAAGTTACTCCCTCGCTGCAGTTGCCCCCCTAATCCTTTTACTGTTGCCCCCTGTTTACCCCTTCTGTCCAGGTCACTTCCACTCTTCGGTCTTCTCTCTCCTACACCCACTTATGTGTGGATCCGTCACTTCAGTTGCGAAAGTGCGTCACCTCTCGCTGCTTCTCCATGCTCATCCCTGCTATGTCATGTTCCTGCGACTTACTTTCAGCCGGTTTCTGCATGTTTCTCCCTTGTATTTACTTGCCCTGCGTTATCTCCCCAGCTAGAGTCTCCTTCACCTCTTTTATGTATTTTGTTTCCCCCCTGGGGCATTCGTCCTTCCCACTGACGTTCCATCCTCCCTGCATTGCTGTCTTCCCTTTGCAGGGCAGCAGGGGGAAACAGGAACAGCGACGCATGCACACCAGCAGTAGTAATGAGGAATACATAGTAAATAGAATAATCGCTGGTGCATGAAAACGGTGCAAGGTTAAGGTGAAGGTCTGATGAATGACCTATGTAAGGATGGTGAGGTATGGTGGGGAACTGTTTGGTAGTGTGCTGTAGGTATGGTAAATGACGCTGAGGTATGGTGAGGTATGGTATGGTACAGAGACTCTTAAACCAAACCAGGGCAAAGAATCACTCAACAGAGGAAGCAGACATGCCTAGTCAAACACAGGTAGCACCCAACAAAGAGTCATGCACACACTTTCAAGAGAGACCCGCCCAGCTTAGGGGTGATTTGAGTGTAGCCCAATAAAGGATGCAGCCCACACCCAACCAGAGAATCAAGGCTCAACCCCAAACAGACACCATGTTTCAAGCAGAATCACCTGGTGCAGGTGTTGACATATGTTGTGTTAGGAGTTCATTGGGCGTAAACGTGCAGGATAATAACTGTGATTCTGTTTTCCATGTAGACATTCCAAGTTTACTGATTAGCAGACCTCAAGTGAAATTGGCACAGGCGGTCAATGTCAACGCTTTGGTGGCTGAAGTCAACACTATACGTTCCTCGTTAACCACTTCCCCGCTGCAAGTTGAGAATCTCAAGCCAGAATATTCGCCAAGTGGTCTACACTACACTACTGGCTCCTGCGACCACAAGACTGCAGGCCCAGACCGGAGTTCCCAAGGTTGGTGCTGGCTGGCTGCCGCAGCCACGAAACCAGCATCAGGCTGATGGCAATTTGATTAGGACGCGGTAAAAGTAGACAATCGATTCTCAGTCACGATCGAGTGCAGATTGGTTACCCTGTTTACTACTTTGTAACCATACTACAGTACGTTTTTTGGCCGAAAACACTGCACAGCGAGGGGAGGCGACTGATTGTTGATTGCGGGAGATCATCCCAAAACTCAGGTGCGATCGTTACAACGTCGCGATCGCCACGTTTCGCGAATCGAGCTGCCCAATCGATTGTGGGGCTCGATATTTGCAGACGATCCTGCGATATTTGCACCTTTACCGCGTCCTTAGTTTGCAGTCTTCCAGATGCCATACCCACCCTGATGCGTTCCAAATAGCGGCCATTTCCGGCTTTAGGGAGGGGCCTAACGTCAAGTAGTTAATCAAATTGCTGCCTTTTCGCGAGCGTTCATGTATTTTGACGTAGGCATTAGCGAAAGACGACGCTGGTTCTGCCGGTCACATCTGGCCACTGGTCCGTAACGCGTCGAGCGACCGAACGTTTATATTCTCTTCATGCCGGAGTATTATTTCTCAGCTTCACACTCCGCGAGTCGCTGATGTCTCGGTAGTTACTATGGCGTTGTCGCAGCGGCGTCGACGCCTCTACACCTCGGCTCGTAATCGTCACTCTGACTTGTAAACTCGATGCTAACATGGCGGCGACTTCGTTAGCTTGGTGCGAAAGCCAGTACCTTTTACTCGGATACTCGAGTTTTAGGTTTCCATCCGTTAGTGAAAAAACTCTTTAATTCCAGTGCTCAGTCTTCCGACCTTTGGTCGGCAGATTATTACCAGCGGTAACATTAGGTTTAAATGACCTCGGGACAAGACATTAAGTCGCTTTATCGCAGGATACAGTAGCCCTTGGCTCTCCGCCGCTGCGTACCCGGTGCTAGCCACGCTTAGGTTTCCCTCAGCTAATTACGACCCGTTGTAGAGCTCCACGTAGTGAAGCGTGTCGCGTCCCAGCGTGTCCCCAGTTTCGCTCATTCCGCGGGCATTCGGCGTGGCAGTGAGTCGGCAAGATGAATTTCTCGCATGACAAGTTCGATGCGGAGAAGTATGTGGACGACCAGATGCAGATCATGGACGAACGGGTACGTGGCATACGCATGACCTCCTCTTTCCCTCCTCCCTTCCCCCCCCTTCCTTGAGTCAACTCAAAAGACAAGTTCGACGCGGAGAAGTATGTGGACGACCAGATGCAGATCATGGACGAACGGGTACGTGGCATGAGCATCACCTCCTCTTTCCCTTCCCCCTCCCCCCACCCCCTCCTTCCTTCCTGCTCTCATCATACAGTCTATTCCCACCTTCCTTGTTCATCTCCCCGCATCCCGCTTTATTTCCGTCCCCGCACCCCCCCGAGCCCCCCCGCTCCCCCCCCACGCAGGGCGTGCGGCTGCTGGTGGGGGACCTGGCGGACTACCGGCGGGTGTCAGCGGACGAGATGCGCAAGAGCGTGTTCGCCAACTACACCGCCTTCATCCGCATCCCCGCTTATTCCCCTCCCCGCATACCCACATACTCCCCCCGCAGGGCGTGCGGCTGCTGGTGGGGGATTTGGCGGATTACAGGCGCGTGTCAGCGGACGAGATGCGCAAGAGCGTGTTCGCCAACTACACGGCGTTCATCGGCACGTCCAAGGAGATCGCGGAGCTGGAAGTGGAGCTGCAGCAGATGAAGAACCTCCTCTCCGTGCAGACCGCGCTCATCCACTCCCTCGCCGCGGATAGCATGAACAATGATAATAGTAATAGCAGTTCCGCGGGTGGTGGTGGTGGTGGGGGGTCGACTCCTGCGTCTACCACTTCGTCGGTTACCACCGCTGGTACTTCGTCTACCTTCGCTGGGGTTTCGTCCGCGTCATACGCGTCCTCGTTAGCCACCCCGCAGCAGGACGAAGAGGAGGATGAGCGGCTGTGGAGCGTGGAGGTCCCCGAGCCTACTGAGATTGAGAAATACGCGGAGGCGCTCCCGGATATACTGGATATTCTTATAGCGGAGCGGAAGGTCGACCGCGCTATAGAGCTGCTGGAGCAGGGGCAGCAGATTGTGCAGCTGGCGCTGGCGACGGCAGGGGACGGGGCGGGCGGGGGCGGAGGCGGGGGGAAAGGGGGCGGGGCGGGCGGGGAGGACGAGGAGATTCTCAGCGCGGACGCGGCGAACGCGCTGGCGGCGTCGATCGCGGAGAGGCGCGCGTGGCTTATGGCGCAGCTGGAGGAGACGGCGCAGCAGGCGGCTGTGCGCGGGCAGGAGCTGCGGCAGGCCGTGGGCGCGCTGTACCGCCTGGGGGAGACCGAGCGCGCGCACCAGCTGCTGCTGGGCGCGTACGGGGAGCGCATCAGGAGCGGATCCCGCCTGCTGCGCCCGCGGGGGACCAGCTTTGGCGGCGCGTACACTGCTGCCCTGGCGCAGGTGAGTGCGAGGGGAGGGGGAGGGCGTGGTGGAGGGGAGGGCGTGGGGAGGGGAAGCGCGTTTGGCACAGTGCGGCTCTGGAGCAGATGAGTGAAGGAAGTTCCTTGAGACGCTCTAAAAGTGCTTCGCTCGTATCATTTTCTCAACCCCCCCCCAACCCCCTTACACCCCCCCACACCCCCATCATCCAATTCATCCCCTTCGTCCTCCTACTCCCCCCCCCCCCACCTCCCCCCTCTCCCACTCCGTTCACACCCGCAGCTGGTGTTCTCAGCCATCTCGGTGGCCACAGACTGAGCACTCACTTTCGCATCGGACCCGGCATGTGCTGCTTTTGAGTCGAATGAAAATCTCCATTGTCCTACTACCCCTTCCCCCCCCCAACCCCCTCGCCCCCCTCCCCTTGCCCGCCCCCTCTCACACAGAACCAGCTGGTGTTCTCGGCCATATCGCAGGCGGCGACAGACTCGGCGCGCATATTCGCATCGGACCCGGCGTGTGCAGCGGACCTGCTGCTGTGGGCGCGGAGGGAGACGGCGGCCACGGACTCAGCCCGCATTTTTGCATCGGACCCTTCCTTATCCCTCTCCTCTCCCCCCTCGCCACACCCCACACCCCCAGCTGGTGTTCTCGGCCATATCGCAAGCAGCAACAGACTCAGCGCGCATATTCGCGTCGGACCCGGCGTGTGCGGCGGACCTGCTGCTGTGGGCGCAGAGGGAGACGGAGTTCTGTGTGTCGCTGCTCACCCCCCTCCCCACACCACACCCCACACCCCACACCCCACACCCTCAGCTGGTGTTCTCGGCCATATCTCAAGCAGCAACAGACTCAGCACGTATATTCGCATCTGACCCGGCGTTTGCGGCGGATCTGCTGCTGTGGGCGCAGAGGGAGACGGAGTTCTGTGTGTCGCTGCTCAAGCGCCACGTGCTCTCATCTGCTGCTGCTGCTGGTGGGCTGCACGCCGCTGCTGAATGCGTGCGCATTGCCCTCGGCCACTGCAGGTGGGTGCTGGCTGGGGCAGTGTAGGTGGGAGGGTGCTGGGGCAGTCTAGGTGGTGGGAGCTGGCGCAGTGCTAGTGGGTGGGTGCTGGGCCACTGCAGGTGGGTGGGGGCTAGGGCAGTGCAAGTGGGAGGGTGCTTGGGATCTGCTGCTGTGGGCGCAGAGGGAGACGGAGTTCTGTGTGTCGCTGCTCAAGCGCCACGTGCTCTCCTCCGCTGCTGCTGCAGGCGGGCTGCATGCTGCTGCTGAATGCGTGCGCATCGCCCTCGGTCACTGCAGGTGGGTGGTGGGTGGGGCAGTGCAGGTGGGTGGCAGGTGGTTGTGCACGACTCGGCGGCCACCATGGTCGCTGTGGACGACTGGCCGCTGTCCCCCATGTTGACCACTGGCTGCTGCTGCCCCCATGCCGTGCTGACCCCTGTGCCGTGCTGCCCCTCCCTCTCCACCCCATCCCCTGCAGGCTACTGGAAGAGCAAGGACTTACACTCTCCCCAGTGCTCTCCAAGATAGTCCGCCCCAGTGTGGAGGAGGCCCTCGAGTTCAACATCATCCGCATAGAGGACTCTGTCGCCACCATGGTGGCCGTGGACGACTGGGTGTTGCTGCCGCTGCCCCATGCCGTTTTAACCCCCGTGCTCCTCCTTTTCCACCCCCCATGCCGTGCTGTCCCTCCCTTTCCACCCGTCCGTTGCCTTGCAGGCTACTGGAAGAGCAAGGTTTGACGCTCTCCCCAGTGCTCTCCAAGCTCGTGCGGCCAAGCGTGGAGGAGGCGTTGGAGTTCAACATCATCCGCATAGAGGACTCTGTCGCCACCATGGTGGCTGTAGATGACTGGGTGTTGCTGCCGCTGCCCCACGGCGCTGCTGCCACGGGCAGGGTGCGCGCGCTGCAGCAGACACTGGGGCCGGGGCTCATGCACCTGAGGCTGTCGAGCAGCGGCCAGCGCTTTTACCTCTTGCTCGTGGTGAGTGGTGGGGTGGCGTATGGATGGAGTCAAGAGAAGGTGCGGGGTTGATGTGCGTGTGTGGTGTGTATCAGCTTGCCAAGGGCTGCTGCCACTGGCAGGCAGGGTGTGCGCGCTGCAGCAGACTCTGGGACTGCGATTAGTGATGACACGGGCTGATGCACCTGAGGCTGTCCAGCAGCGGCCAGCGCTTATACCTGCTGCTCGTGGTGAGTGCCAGGGAGGTGTGTGGATGGAATCAGGAAAAGGAGGGGGGGGGTTGTCCGTGTGTGTACTGTGTATCAGCTTGGCAAGAACCGTTGCCACTGGCAGACCCTGTGGAGGACATTCTGTCGGTGATTAGCCCGTGTCATCACTATAGCCCCTCATCACTGTAGCCCCCCGCCCCCTCTCCCCTTTCCCCCACCCGCCAACTTCCCCCACCCCGCACGCACCCCACATCAGGATCTAGTGGAGGACATTCTGCCGGTGATCTGCCCGCAGCTGTTCGGCCGCATTCATCACCCCCTCCCTCCCTCCCCCCATTTCCTCCCCCCCCTACCCACAAACCCACATCAGGACTTAGTGGAGGACATATTGCCGGTGATCAGCCTGCAACTGTTCAGCCGCATTCTCGACTGCCTGGCGTCCCTCTTGGAGTCCTGCGTCGCCCTGCTGCGAAAGGGCCTGCTCTTTCCCCTCATTCCACCCTCCACCCACCCCACCCCTCCCCACCCCTCCCCACCCCATACCAGGATCTAGTGGAGGATATCCTTCCGTTGATCAGCCTGCAGCTGTTTGGTCGCATCCTCGACCGCCTGGCGTCCCTCTTCGAGTCCTACGTCGCCCTCCTGCAAAAAGCCCTCCCCTCGCCCTCCGATGACGACGACGACGAGGAGGACGGGGGGAACGGGGGGGAAGGAGGCAAAGACAAGGGCGGGGAGAAGGGAGGGGAGAAGGAGAACGGGGACGAGCCGTGGCAGGACGGCAGTGTGCGGACAGCAGAGGACGAGCAGCAGCAGCTGGCGCTGCTGGGGAACGCGTCGGCTCTGGCTGATGATTTGCTGCCGCGGCTGGCTCAGAGGCTCACGCTGGCCGCTGGGGAGGAAGGTGGTGGGGGAGGGGGGCGAGCGGGGAGGAAGCAGGGCGGGGCGGATCCAGACAGGAGGCTGTCTGCTGGAGGACGGTACGCCCCCCCCTCTCTCTGAATGCTCTCTCTGCTCTTGGTCCCCTCTGTTGTCCCGTCCTGCCGTGTCACCCGTGGGAGTGGAACCTCTCTTGGACCAACCATACCTTAAGGCCACGGATTTCTTCCTACAGCCATCTGAATACATACATCTCTCGACAGCGTGGGGCAGCGCACTGGGAGTGGCGACAGGAACTCACTGTTGAGTCGACTCACGAGTCCCTTGTCCTGCCTCCTGACTCTCTCCCCCTCCTCTTCCCCTCTCCCTCCTTCTCACGGTCGCAGCAACGCGGCGGAGCACAAGGAGTGGCGGCCCCTCCTCCCCTCCCCTTACCCCTTTCCCCCGGGCATCCCCCTCTTCCTTCCTCTCCCCCCCCCCCTAACAGCAACGCGGCGGAGCACAAGGAGTGGCGGAGGCGGCTACAGAAGGCGGTGGACAAGCTGAGGGACGTGCTGTGCTCAAAGGGTGGGGCCCGCAAGCTCACCCCGCATCCCCGTCCCCCCTCTTTCCCCCCCCTGGGCAGCAACGCGGCGGAGCACAACACAGAAGGCGGTGGACAAGCTGAGGGACGTGCTGTGCTCGGAGGTTGGTGGGTGGGGCCCTCAATCGCATCTCCAACCATTCCCTCATTCCCTCTCCCACCTCTCCTCCCCCTCCACCTCCTCCCCCCCCCTCTCCCCCCTGGCAGGAACGCGGCGGAGCACAAGGAGTGGCGGAGGCGGCTACAGAAGGCGGTGGACAAGTTGAGGGACGTGCTGTGCTCGTGCCTCGTGGCGGAGTTCATGTATGGCCACGATGGCCAGCCCATTCTCACCGCGCGCCAGTACCTGCACATGGACGCCAAGATGCGCCCCACCCAGTGGGCCCTGAAGCCGCTCCCCTCGCCGCCCTTCCAGGTGAGCTATTCAGGTCAGGGTTTGCCAGCCCGTTCTCACCGCGCACCAGTACCTGCACATGGACGCCAAGATGCGCCCCACGCAGTGGGCGCTCAAGCCCCTGCCCTCGCCGCCCTTCCAGGTCAGCATCTGCTCTGTCCAGGTCAGCATCTGCTCTTTCCAGGTCAGCATCTGCTCTGTCCAGGTCAGTGGCCAAACACGCAGGTCTCACTTTCTTTCGTCACAGCATCCCCCAGGCGCTCCACTTGGCTCTGCACTCCATCCACTCAACTCCACTGCCACACATGTACTGGGATGGGAGGGTCGCAACCGCATAGCACTGCTTTTGCCTGGTGCTTCTGTGATTTGTTCACCCCCCATCAAACACCCCCTCTGCCCTCCCCCCACAGGCGCTATACATGGCGCTGCACTCCATCCACTCAACCGCCACGTACGTGCTGGGAGGGCGCGACCGCGTGGTCACGCTGCTGCTCATGCGTCTCGCCGAGTGGCTCATGATGGGCCTCATGGTCTACAGCTCGTTTTGGGACGAGCTTGAAAACGCCGAGTACGCGCTCGGGCCTACAGGCCTGCAACAGGTGCGCTTGTGTGTGTTACTGTGGGCTTCAGGAGGGTTGTAAGGGAGGTGCCTGTCTGGCGGAGTGGCTGATGATGGGCCTCATGGTCTACAGCTCCTTCTGGGACGAGCTTGAGAATGCCGAATACGCCCTCGGCCCCACGGGCTTGCAGCAGGTGTGTGAGATGAGATCATGGGGGTGCGGACTGGGGAAAAGGGATATATCAGTGGGGGAGGTGCCTTGCGGAGCGGCTCCTGATGGGACTCATGGTGTACATTGTAGGCTCTACAGCACCTTCTGGTACGAGCTTGAGAATGGGGCATACGCCTTTGCCACAGGCCCACAGGCTCACAGGCCCCACAGGCCTGCAGCAGGTGCACCTTTGTCTCATGGGGCAATTATGGTTTGGCATGTACTTCGTGATACAGGTGGCCAAGGCAAGGAACTTCTCCTCCAGGGCCACGCGCAAGGTGCCTTCTGAGTCCATTCACCCTGTCTCCGCCTCCTCTGCTCCGCCTCTTCCCTGCTCCCCCTCCCCCTCCCCCTATCTTCCCCTCCCCCACCCAGCTGGTGTTTGACATGTACTTTGTGATGCAGGTGGCCAAGGCGGGCAAGTTCTCCTCCCGGGCCATGTGGGCAATGCGCACATCTGACTCTACCACTCACACTCTCTATCCTGTCCCTTCCCCCCCCTCTCCTCCACAACTCTCTCCCCCCCCCAACCCCACCAGTTGGTGTTTGACACGTATTTCGTGATGCAGGTGGCCAAGGCAGGCAAGTACTCCTCCTGGGCCATGTGCATTCCTGACCCTGCCACTCACTCTCTCTAACCTGTCCCTTTCTTCCTGGTGTTTGACATGTATTTCGTGATGCAGGTGGCCAAGGCAGGCAAGTACTCCTCCCGGGCCATGCGGGCAATGCGCACATCTGAACCCAAGCGCTCATTCTCTCTATCCTGTCCCTTCCTTCCCTCTTTTCCCCTCCACACCTCCCCCCCCCCCCCAGCTGGTGTTTGACATGTACTTTGTGATGCAGGTGGCCAAGGTGGGCAAGTACTCCTTCAGGGCCATGCGCACATCTGAACCCAAAGCACTCACCGTCTCTATCCTGTCCCTTCGTTCCCCCTTTCCCCCTTCCCCTTAATCCCCACCAACACCACCAGCTGGTGTTTGACATGTATTTCGTGATGCAGGTGGCCAAGGCGGGTAAATACTCCTCCCGGGCCATGCGCAAGGTGGCAGAGGACAGTGCTACCAAGGCCATCGTGCTCTACACTGACCAGACCGGAGGGGATCCCAACAGGTGCGTGTGGGTTTCCATGCCATCAATCTTTGCTTGACACACTAGTGTATGGTTACTGTAGGGAGGGCAGGGAGACAGGGCCATGCGCAAGGTGGCAGAGGACAGCGCTACTAAGGCCATCGTGCTCTACACCGATCAGACGGGGGGCGACCCCAACAGGTGAGGGCGTTGACTGCAACAGGTGAGGGCTTCTAGCCTGTGTGCTTTGAGCCAGTCACTCTGAATGCGGCAAGCAGAGGGTCATGCGCAAGGTGGCAGAGAGGACAGCGACCAATGCCATCGTGCTGTTTATTGACCAGACAGGAGGCAACCCCAACATCCCAGTGTTCTATCCGGGTACCCAGTGAACACTGGGTACCTGTCCGGACAGGTACCCAGTGTTCTTCCTGTTGGTGCTATTGTGCATCCTTGGGCAAGTCATTAGGTGCCTCCCCCCCCCCCCTGCCCCTGCCCCCCTTCACCCATCTCCCTTCCTCTTTGCCTCTCTATCCTGTACAGTCTGCTGCAGGAGGACTGGTGGTACGAGCACAAGTGTGTGGAGGCTATAGAGGAGCTCGCAGCAGCAGCAGTCTCACTTGTTCACAGCACACTGCTGCACCTCCATGTCACCCATCTTTACCGTTTTCTGCCCTTCCTTGTTCTGCGCCCTCGCAGTCTGCTACAGGAGGACTGGTGGTACGAGCACAAGTGTGTGGAGGCAATAGAGGAGCTCGCAGCAGCAGCCAGCCCAGCAGCGTCCCCTACTGACTCGCCCAGCCGCCACCGCCGCTCCTTCTCCCAAGAAGACCCCGACGACCCACTCGCCGCCGCCTCCTCTGCTGCTGCTGCTTCCGCTAGCCCTGCTGCTCCTGCTGGTGCTGTTGGTACTGGTGCGGTTGGTGGTTCTACAGCTGCTGCTGCCTTGTCTCCCACAATACCAGGTCTGCAGCAGCAGGGGGATGGGGGGTTATCCCAGCAGCAGCAGGGTCCGGGGAGAGGGGCGTTGGATGAGGTGTGGAGACCAACAGTAAAGGGACAGTATGATATGTATGATGATGATGGGGGGGTTAGGAGTGCGAGACCAGGAGGGAGGGGGACAGCGAGCCGAAGCCCTAGGAGTGAAGCAGCAGGAGGGGGGCCACGGAGCAGAGGGTTTTCAGAGGATGAGTATGGGAGCGGGGGCGGCAGGAGTGAGTATTCGAGCCGAGATAGGGATTATGGGAGGGAGAGGGAGAGTGTTGCAGGGGGGTGGGAGTATGGGAGGGATGGCGGAGGGAGGGATTATAGGGAGAGTGGTGGGAGAGATTATGGGAGGGAGAGAGATGGATCGTACAGGGACAGGGATGTGTCGTATAGGGAGAGAGATCGGGATGGGTATGGGCGGGAAGAGAGAGGTTATGCGGGGCGACCGTCACAGAGGAGAGGAGGGTATTGATGTGCGAGAGAAGGGGGGAGAGAGATGGATCATAGAGGGACAGGGATGTGTCGTATAGGGAGAGAGATAGGGATGGGTATGGGCGGGAAGAGAGAGGTTATGCAGGGCGACAGGCACAGAGGCGAGGAGGGAATTGATGTGCGAGAGGGAGGGAGAGAAGGGTAGTGATGTGATGTGAGACGAGAGAGGAGGGTTTGATGTGAGGATGTGCTGCTTTTTGCTAGAGAAGAGTTCCAGAAGAAATTGGGCTGGAGCGGGGAAATATGTTTGTGGGCAATGCCGAGTAGCAGCAATTGAGAAATGAGGCAGCTAATGCTTGAAATTATGCCCCATGTAGGTGATGTGATATAGTAGTTTTGTTTGTGAATTAACGTTGTAACCAGACACTGCCTACGTGCAGAGAATTTAGTGCGCGGAGGGTTCGCCCTTACAGGGAATACATCCTCGTTACAAGCTCGTCTATCGGATCCCCTCTCGACCAACGCTGGCCCACAAGCAAACCCTTCAGCTATTTTTCACCCAACATTCCTCGCCATCTGCTGCCCCGACTAGTTGTGCGTATTGCTTGAATTCTGCTCGTCCCTCCCGCGGTCTAGGTTTGTGCGTTGCGGCGAAGCAAGTCTCAGTTACATCCCAGCGGGTCCACTGTAGCCGCCAGAGCATAGCAGCACATCGAGGCAGCTCTTGACGCGTATTTCGAGCCTCGGAATTACCGGAAGGAGCTGTGCTAGTCGAAAAAATGGGAAGCGCGGGGAAACTGAGAAGCGGCCGTGCAGCCATGGCGTCCGTAACTTCTTCGAAGGTAGGCAGGGGGAAGAAGAAGGCGGGAACCGCAGTCTGCTACAGGAGGACTGGTGGTACGAGCACAAGTGTGTGGAGGCAATAGAGGAGCTCGCAGCAGCAGCCAGCCCAGCAGCGTCCCCTACTGACTCGCCCAGCCGCCACCGCCGCTCCTTCTCCCAAGAAGACCCCGACGACCCACTCGCCGCCGCCTCCTCTGCTGCTGCTGCTTCCGCTAGCCCTGCTGCTCCTGCTGGTGCTGTTGGTACTGGTGCGGTTGGTGGTTCTACAGCTGCTGCTGCCTTGTCTCCCACAATACCAGGTCTGCAGCAGCAGGGGGATGGGGGGTTATCCCAGCAGCAGCAGGGTCCGGGGAGAGGGGCGTTGGATGAGGTGTGGAGACCAACAGTAAAGGGACAGTATGATATGTATGATGATGATGGGGGGGTTAGGAGTGCGAGACCAGGAGGGAGGGGGACAGCGAGCCGAAGCCCTAGGAGTGAAGCAGCAGGAGGGGGGCCACGGAGCAGAGGGTTTTCAGAGGATGAGTATGGGAGCGGGGGCGGCAGGAGTGAGTATTCGAGCCGAGATAGGGATTATGGGAGGGAGAGGGAGAGTGTTGCAGGGGGGTGGGAGTATGGGAGGGATGGCGGAGGGAGGGATTATAGGGAGAGTGGTGGGAGAGATTATGGGAGGGAGAGAGATGGATCGTACAGGGACAGGGATGTGTCGTATAGGGAGAGAGATCGGGATGGGTATGGGCGGGAAGAGAGAGGTTATGCGGGGCGACCGTCACAGAGGAGAGGAGGGTATTGATGTGCGAGAGAAGGGGGGAGAGAGATGGATCATAGAGGGACAGGGATGTGTCGTATAGGGAGAGAGATAGGGATGGGTATGGGCGGGAAGAGAGAGGTTATGCAGGGCGACAGGCACAGAGGCGAGGAGGGAATTGATGTGCGAGAGGGAGGGAGAGAAGGGTAGTGATGTGATGTGAGACGAGAGAGGAGGGTTTGATGTGAGGATGTGCTGCTTTTTGCTAGAGAAGAGTTCCAGAAGAAATTGGGCTGGAGCGGGGAAATATGTTTGTGGGCAATGCCGAGTAGCAGCAATTGAGAAATGAGGCAGCTAATGCTTGAAATTATGCCCCATGTAGGTGATGTGATATAGTAGTTTTGTTTGTGAATTAACGTTGTAACCAGACACTGCCTACGTGCAGAGAATTTAGTGCGCGGAGGGTTCGCCCTTACAGGGAATACATCCTCGTTACAAGCTCGTCTATCGGATCCCCTCTCGACCAACGCTGGCCCACAAGCAAACCCTTCAGCTATTTTTCACCCAACATTCCTCGCCATCTGCTGCCCCGACTAGTTGTGCGTATTGCTTGAATTCTGCTCGTCCCTCCCGCGGTCTAGGTTTGTGCGTTGCGGCGAAGCAAGTCTCAGTTACATCCCAGCGGGTCCACTGTAGCCGCCAGAGCATAGCAGCACATCGAGGCAGCTCTTGACGCGTATTTCGAGCCTCGGAATTACCGGAAGGAGCTGTGCTAGTCGAAAAAATGGGAAGCGCGGGGAAACTGAGAAGCGGCCGTGCAGCCATGGCGTCCGTAACTTCTTCGAAGGTAGGCAGGGGGAAGAAGAAGGCGGGAACCGCAGTCTGCTACAGGAGGACTGGTGGTACGAGCACAAGTGTGTGGAGGCAATAGAGGAGCTCGCAGCAGCAGCCAGCCCAGCAGCGTCCCCTACTGACTCGCCCAGCCGCCACCGCCGCTCCTTCTCCCAAGAAGACCCCGACGACCCACTCGCCGCCGCCTCCTCTGCTGCTGCTGCTTCCGCTAGCCCTGCTGCTCCTGCTGGTGCTGTTGGTACTGGTGCGGTTGGTGGTTCTACAGCTGCTGCTGCCTTGTCTCCCACAATACCAGGTCTGCAGCAGCAGGGGGATGGGGGGTTATCCCAGCAGCAGCAGGGTCCGGGGAGAGGGGCGTTGGATGAGGTGTGGAGACCAACAGTAAAGGGACAGTATGATATGTATGATGATGATGGGGGGGTTAGGAGTGCGAGACCAGGAGGGAGGGGGACAGCGAGCCGAAGCCCTAGGAGTGAAGCAGCAGGAGGGGGGCCACGGAGCAGAGGGTTTTCAGAGGATGAGTATGGGAGCGGGGGCGGCAGGAGTGAGTATTCGAGCCGAGATAGGGATTATGGGAGGGAGAGGGAGAGTGTTGCAGGGGGGTGGGAGTATGGGAGGGATGGCGGAGGGAGGGATTATAGGGAGAGTGGTGGGAGAGATTATGGGAGGGAGAGAGATGGATCGTACAGGGACAGGGATGTGTCGTATAGGGAGAGAGATCGGGATGGGTATGGGCGGGAAGAGAGAGGTTATGCGGGGCGACCGTCACAGAGGAGAGGAGGGTATTGATGTGCGAGAGAAGGGGGGAGAGAGATGGATCATAGAGGGACAGGGATGTGTCGTATAGGGAGAGAGATAGGGATGGGTATGGGCGGGAAGAGAGAGGTTATGCAGGGCGACAGGCACAGAGGCGAGGAGGGAATTGATGTGCGAGAGGGAGGGAGAGAAGGGTAGTGATGTGATGTGAGACGAGAGAGGAGGGTTTGATGTGAGGATGTGCTGCTTTTTGCTAGAGAAGAGTTCCAGAAGAAATTGGGCTGGAGCGGGGAAATATGTTTGTGGGCAATGCCGAGTAGCAGCAATTGAGAAATGAGGCAGCTAATGCTTGAAATTATGCCCCATGTAGGTGATGTGATATAGTAGTTTTGTTTGTGAATTAACGTTGTAACCAGACACTGCCTACGTGCAGAGAATTTAGTGCGCGGAGGGTTCGCCCTTACAGGGAATACATCCTCGTTACAAGCTCGTCTATCGGATCCCCTCTCGACCAACGCTGGCCCACAAGCAAACCCTTCAGCTATTTTTCACCCAACATTCCTCGCCATCTGCTGCCCCGACTAGTTGTGCGTATTGCTTGAATTCTGCTCGTCCCTCCCGCGGTCTAGGTTTGTGCGTTGCGGCGAAGCAAGTCTCAGTTACATCCCAGCGGGTCCACTGTAGCCGCCAGAGCATAGCAGCACATCGAGGCAGCTCTTGACGCGTATTTCGAGCCTCGGAATTACCGGAAGGAGCTGTGCTAGTCGAAAAAATGGGAAGCGCGGGGAAACTGAGAAGCGGCCGTGCAGCCATGGCGTCCGTAACTTCTTCGAAGGTAGGCAGGGGGAAGAAGAAGGCGGGAACTGCACCCAGCCGGGATGAACCGAACTCAACCGAGCATCCAGCGACGCTTGCTACAGCACGTGGCGATGACGTCGCAAGTGCGGCAGCTGAAGCCTCAGCGGTCGCAGACCTGACGGCGACGAACCCTGATGCGAACCTTGATGCGACGCCCGCGACGGAGTCGCAGCTGTCGCCGCCTGGAGGCACGCGGAAGCGAGCGGCCGGCGATGATATCGACGCGATTTTCAACCAGGCGAAGCAGAGCAAGCAGCATGCGGCGGCGAGCAGCGGACAGAAAGGCAAGGGAGGCGCGAAAGAGCAGGGCAGCGAAAAACCACCCGGGGAGAAAAAGGGGAAGAAGAAAGGTAAAAGTGGAAGTGGGGTGGACGCAGATAGCAAGGCGAGGAAGCGGACAGTGGAGGGGTTTAGGGTTTACAAGGAGGAGGAGCTGGGGTGGAACAAGAAGACTGCCGGGGGCACTGCGCAGTGCCCCTTCGACTGTGACTGCTGCTTCTGAGCCTGGCTTGAGGCGCTTAGAGAAACGCCAGAGGAAGCCGAAGCAGGAAGGGGTACAGGATTCACAAGGAGGGGAGGAGGAGGAGTGTAGGTACAAGGAGGAGGGGTGTAGGGTTTACAAGGAGGAGTTAGGTGGAATAAGAAGTCTTCTGGGGCCACTGCTTCTGAGCCTGGCAAGAGGCCTTCAGCTCCGAAGCTCCTAAAAGCTCCCTCTTTAGTAATTTGAATCTTGCATTTAGTTCTGAAATGCATACTCAGGGCAGGGAGCCCCCTGCGGATCCGATTTGCCAAGAATATAGAACCAGGGTGCGGAACTAGGAGGGGTACCGTACGTGATTATGGGGAGGATGTGCTGTGGTGGTATGAGTTGGGATGGGATGAGCTGGGATGGGATGGTACTGTATGAGTTGGGATGGTATGGGTTGGGGTGGGAAAGTCTGCTGAAGGCACTGCATTGTCCTTTCCTGATTACCGGTATGACTGCTGATGGTCAACTGCATCAGGTGACCCATCAGGTGATCTCCTGACATCACTAAAATGGCTATTCTGGTTGCTGCAGATGCGGGCTTGGGTCTTCCTGTCTGGTGGAGCAACACTGGAAAACCCAGGGCAGAGCCTTAGGGCATGTTCCTACGCCTCTTATCAAGCGAACCTCATATCAGACCCACACTGAAAATTCCCCTAAACCCAAAATTTTACCAACTGAAAATTCCCCTAAACCCAAAATTTTACCAGGCAAGTCTGATATAAAGTTGCCTGATATGAGGCGTAAGAACACGCCCTAAATGCTTCATTGAAGAATCCCTTGTAAATGTGATGTAATAATGTAATAAACACTTCTGGGTGTACCGCATTTGCCAAATTGCCAATGTTGCTGTAACATTGTCAATACCGTACCTATTTTCACCATGGTCCCTCACCGGCACCCACATGCCTGCCTGCCTTCCACCCTCCCAGTTCCTACTGTACACGGCCTACTCATGTGACATGAGCATCACACAAAATAATGTTTCGGTTCGGCTCGGCCCCACACCTCTCGCCCACCCTCCCTGCCCACGCTCACCACCCCCTAGGCCTGCCCACCCTCCCACCCACTCCGTGAAACCCTCTAAGCCTCAGCACTCTCAGCAGCCTTGCTCTGCTGCTGCAGCAGCTTCTGCGCTGCGCTCTCATACGCAGCATCGGCATCGCGCAGGGGGATGGAGCCGGCAAGCAGGTGCAGGGGCGTCTTGAGGCAGTACCCGCAGCACTTGCCCGTGCACTCCCGGCGCCGCCCACACTCCCGGTTGTACCTGGGGGAGGGGTGAGAGGGGAGACGGGAGAAGCGCAGAGGGATGGAGCCGGCCAGCAGGTGCAGGGGCGTCTTGAGGCAGTAGCCGCAGCACTTGCCCGTGCATTCCCTGCGCCGCCGACACTCGCGGTTGTACCTGGGGGAGGGGTGAAAGGAGTAGGGAGTAGGGGTAAACAGGGAGACGGATTGGGACTAAGGCATATCGCAATAGGCAGGTTGTCAAGGCGAGCAGGTGCAGGGGCGTCTTGAGGCAGTACCCGCAGCACTTGCCCGTGCACTCCCTGCGCCGCCCACACTCCCAATTGTACCTGGGGTGTGTGTGAGTGGGGAGAGTGGTTGCAGTGGGTGTGAGAGGGTCGACAGGAGAAGGTGAATTGGGTTAGGGAAACAAGATTGGGGACAGAGCGAACCGAACAGGGAGAGGAGTGGAGGGTGGGTCAGAGTTCTGAGGCACCTCAATCTCAGAGGGTGGGTGAGGTTACGGAAGACGGTTTAAAGCTTGATGAAAATCCAACCAACTGATTTAAAATATGCACCAGAGTCCAGGTACGGCCATACCTGCATATGCAGGTTTGGGCGGGCCCAAGCTTGCACGAACAGGTTCGGTACACCCGTACCTGCACATGTAGCATCGGGGAGCGTCGATGCTGTCTTCCGAGCCTGGCCCCACTGGCCACGAGTCCTCAAAGGACTTCTCAAAGTTGGCAAGGACCTGATGGGGGAGAGAGGAGGGGGAGAGGGATGGGGAGAGGGGCGAGAAGGCAGAGCCAACGGAGGGGCAAGGGTAAGTGTAAGAAAGGCCATGCAAGTCAAAACGGCCCCACTGGACCGACCGACAACGAGTCCAGCACCTCTTACACTTGAAGGTCTTTTCAAAGTTGGCCAGCACCTGGTGGGGGAGAGTGGAGGGGGAGGGGGTTAACAAGGGAGAGGCAAGGGTAAGAAAAGCCAAAAAGGGCCCACTACTGGCACCACTGGCCCCAGTGGCCACGAGTCCTCAAAGGTCTTTTCAAAGTTGGCCAGCACCTGGTGGGGGAGAGTGGAGGGGGAGAGGCTGAAGAGTCAAAGGCTCCTTTGAGAACAGCGTCCCAAGCAGACGAGTCAACCACGTCCCCACCCACCCATGCCCCCACCGAACACCCCCACTCACTTCGAGCACATAGCCCGCACCCCCACTCACTCACATCAAGAACAGCAAAGTCGGTGTAGTCATAGGAAGGCAGCAGCGCGCCCTCATCGTCCATATCGTTGCCATCCCCTGCTGGACTCTTGCCCCCTCCCCATACGACAATACCACCCACCCACGCCCCTACTCACATCCAGAACAGCAAAGTCGGTATAGTCATATGACGGCAGCAGCGCCCCCTCGTCGTCCATATCATTGCCGTCCTCTGCTGGACTTGCACCCGCTCCCCCCCATACTCACATCTAGTACCGCTAAGTCACTCCCAGCCCAATGACTCACATCAAGAACAGCAAAGTCGGTGTAGTCATACGAGGGCAGCAGCGCGCCCTCATCATCCATGTCGTTGCCATCCCCTGCTGGACTCGCGCCTGCGCCCGCCTACTCACATCTAGTACCGCAAAGTCACTCCCAACCAAATGACTCACATCAAGCACAGCGAAATCGGTGTAGTCGTACGAGGGCAGTAGAGCGCCCTCATCGTCCATATCATTGCCGTCCTCTGCTGGACTCGCACCCGCGCCCGCCAGGCACGTCGGGTAATTCACCCCCTCGGTGGCGGGGAATTTACCCTCGAAAATGAGGTGCACCTCGTAGCTCATGCCAAAGTCGTACTGGTAGACCAGCAGAGGATCGGCCTTGGAAAAGACAGCGCCCACTTCGAACGCCCTCTCGTCCAACACCTGATGGGTGGGAGGGGGGGAGTGAGGGGGGAGAGTAGGGGGAGGCGCAGGGGAGGAGGAACAGAGGAGGAGAGCGGAGGAAAGTGGTGGTTGGTTGTTCAGTTAGGGCGGCACAGGCCACCAGGTGTGCAGCTCATCGGTTCATGCCAAAGTCGCACTGGTAGACCAGCAGCGGATCGGCCTTGGAAAACACGGCCCCCACTTCGAAGGCCCTCTCGAAGAGTGGAGAGAGACGGGAGTGAGGGAGGGAGGGGGAGGAGCAGGGGAGGGGGAGCAGGGGAAAGGGGGCACGTGAGTGGGAGCAAAGGAGGGAGAGCAGGGAAGCGGGAGCAGGGACGGGGAGCAGATGAGCGGGAGGGGAGGGAGAGCAGGGGAGCGGGAGCAGGGGAGGGAGCGGGAGCAGGGGACGGGAGTCCAGGAAAGGAGGGTTACACGAGACTCTAACGCACACGTTATCACCCCAGCATCCCCACACTCAACACCCACTCCCCCACTCCACTCCCCCACTCCTCTCCCCCACTCCTCTCCCGCACTTCTTGCACCAACTTCTCTTCCCCACTCTCCCCTCGTCTCCCCTCCCCACACTCCCACACTCCACCCTCCCTACACTCCCCCCTCCCCACGCCCCCCCTCCCCACTCCCACCCTCCCCACTCCCACCCTCCCCACTCCCACCCTCCCCACTCCCACCCTCCCCACTCCCACCCTCCCCACTCCCACCCTCCCCACTCCCACCCTCACCTCGCCAGGTCCCGTCAGCACCGACACCTCCTTCCCTTCTCCCGCCGCTGCCACGTCAGCATGCTCCACAAACACCACCTCAGCACTGCCGCCCAGATCCAAACTCGCAGGCGTCAGAATCAAATCGTCCGCCGCCTCCTCCTTGGCGCCCGCTACAGTCTTGAAACTGCGCGTGAACCCGGGCGGCAGAGAGTCCAAATCCAGCTGTAGCAGCTCCGCTACAGCCGAGAGGTCCGTCCGGCCGAAACCCCGGTACTGTGTGTCGGGAAGCGGCGGGAGAACAGCCTCGGATGTAGCTGGGGCGATGATCCCGGCGGCGGCTGTAGCGGGCTTGGGTTTGGTTGTAGCGGCGTCGGTTTCGGCCTCGGAGTCGGTGATTTCGTCCGCGAGGGCCGCGGCCGGGTCGAGCAGGCGGCGCCACGCGTGGCGGCGGGGTTGGGTGAAGTCGTGCAGATGCGTGTCCTCCCAGTCGAACGCGTTCTGTCAGTGGAGGGGACGGAGGTGTGGGAGGGGGAGAGGACGGGATGGGGACGGGCGATGGGGGAAGGCGTGAGAACATGGAGCAGTGATGCGGTTCAGACCGGTGCGGCTGGGTGCAGTCGTGCAGGTGCGCGCCCTCCCAGTCGAACGCGCTTTGTCACGAGAAGGGATGGGGGGAGGAGGGGGGGTGGACCGTGGAGGGCACATGGGAGAAGGCGGGGAAGACCTTAAAGCAGCGATGAGGTGAGTGATGCGCGGCTGGGTGAAGTCGTGCAGGTGCGTGTCCTCCCAGTCGAACGCGTTCTATGATGTGGGGGGAAGGTACATGGGAGGAAGGGGGGACGACTATAGAGCAGCAATGAGGTGAGTGATGCGCGGCTGGGTGAAGTCGTGCAGGTGCGTGTCCTCCCAGTCGAGCGCGTTCTGTGATGTGGGGGGAAGGTACATGGGAGGAAGGGGGGACGACTATAGAGCAGCAATGAGGTGAGTGATGCGCGGCTGGGTGAAGTCGTGCAGGTGCGCGCCCTCCCAGTCGAACGCGTTCTGAAGAGGAGGGGTGGGTGAATGGGGGAGCGATCAGGGAGAATGACGGATGGGGTATGGGGCGGCTTGGGCTGTTAATAT